TTATCGAACAACTAAAGATTTATCGAACTTGAAAAATTGTATAACAGATTTATTATGACACAATTCCATATCTGTATAAAAATTAATGATTTCATTTACTCCTATTATTAATATTTTTTTTACATCATGTAAAAAAAATCTACTAAAATGAATTTAAGTTATGAAAACCGAGAACACCTGTAATTGAACGAAAGAAATTGCTCAAAATTAGCTGTGCATCAAAATTTTAAATGATTCTTATAATGTCCACCTGTTGGGAAGTATTTTAGTAACTGAATCAGTAATTCTAATCATTTAAATTACTCACTTGGTGGAACTAAGTAACGTTTCGGATCGCCTGAAATGTAATATTAAGTAATAATGATTACATTATTGTCAGTTATCAATCTTTTAAAACAATTGGTATACTTATAATAACTGTATATGAAGGACATTTTGCAAAAGAGATCTTGAGGACAAAAATCTATTCTGCGATTTTTGCAAATTTTTGCAGTGCATTTGTCAGTGTTAGTTATCAATCTTTTAGAAAAATTGTTTTGGTCATAAATACTGTGTATATATATAGAAACTGATTGTTCTATTGTTCTTTTTGTTTGTAACATTTATAACATTTTTTATAACATCCTTACTAACTAAAAACTCTGTTTAAAGGACATTGTGCAGTAATGATAAAAATATCAAATAAATCAATACAGGATAGTTGAATTTTAATTATAAAAATATAGTTTAAAAAAACTAAAAAACACGCTTTTAAAGCACATCGAACTAAAAAGTTAAAAATAATTTTTAAAATAAACTTAAAACAATAATGAACGAAAAATACTAGTATTATTGTGAAAAAAAGCGTGGGTGCTTTATGCCATATTTTTTGTATATTGAGCGCCTGACGCTTTTTTTAGTTCGATGTGCTTTAAAAGCGTGTTTTTTAGTTTTTTTTAACTATATTTATTTTTCACTTTTTAGTTTCATGTTATGATAGTAGTTAATATCAATATCATGATTGTAACGGGTAACGGGAAATAAGGGTTCGATTCCGGAGAGGGAGTCTAAGAAACGGCTACCACATCCAAGGAAAGCAGCAGGCGCGTAACGTGGAGGTAGTGACGAAAAATAACGATACGAGAATCATCCTCCGTAATCGGAATGAATACACTACATATCTCTTAATGAGAATAAAGTGTATTAATATATAAGTTTTAATAGTAATTAGAATATATATATATTTAAAGGGACTTAAGTACGTAAACGTATCATGCATGAGGTATAGCCGTGTTTGTGGGCGGGCATGGCGGAGGGAACATTATACACGAGGCATATACGGCAGCAGAGGCGTCGGCTGTAGGAATATATAAATGAATATTAACATATACGTATATACGTATAAATATTAATATATATATATATAT